ATGGGGAGCCATGGCAACCTAACGGTGTTTTTTTAATACACGCCAACCATGTGGTGAACATGAGTGCCCTGAATCAGTGAGGTTGAGCTGGGAGCTCTTGAGTGATTAAGAGGGCGGAGTTGCAGTCATGGCTAGGGATGGGGTGACTCTTGCTGAGCAAGGTGTCAGGTCGGAAGTCGAGAAACGCGGCACGTGCTTCCCTCCTTTGTTTGGCTGAGCAAGGCATTTCCATTCATTTTGCCGTACTCAAACGAACCAAAGAGTGAATTGTAGGTTTCGAAGCAACTGCCAGTTTAGATGGCTTGCGAAGAGTAAGCTGAGCGGAAGGTAAGCTTTTGGAGCACAGCGTCCAGGCGGGTAAGAGGTTCTTCAAATGGCTGCGTGTGAAAAGGCCAGGACGCACAGACCCTCCACGGGTGTGTCCTCTTGTTTCAGGACGCCCAGAGAACCTCCCGAAACTTGCGAAGCCTTCTGAGCGGAATATGCTGTCTGCTTGGCAAGCGGCAAGGATCCCATGACGACTCTTGGCAGGGTCCCGGGCCTAGGGGAGGCGATCAGCTGAGGCGGCGCCGCATGCAACGGACCTGGAGAAGGGGCTGGCGCAGCTCTTGCTGGGCAAGCTCCAGCTCAGGCGACGGGTCGGAGCCCGGCCTTCAAGGAGCTTTTCGTTTTGGGAGCCCTGAATGCAGATGAGCCAAGTTCAGGTGGGGTGAATCACTGTTCTCGCAGATGGAATATCGACCCCCCATGACCCCATGATTCGGGGAATCAGTCCCTCGCTGCAAGTTTCCCCTGTAAAACACCCAACGGGCCCTCTGAAAAGGGCGGTAGCAAGGATGAATTTGAGGGTCGGCACCAAGGCAAACTAAAAGAAAGTGCCCATTTTCAAGCCACATGTTGGCCTATGCCGGATCTCACATGTAGCCAGGTTTCAGGTTGTTCTTAGGAACCATGCCATGTCCAGGGGGCGGGGAACATATTAGGCCCAAGTTGTTTGCTCTAGAGAACAATCTGCATGGCCCGACGTAACATCATGGAACAGAAGCAAAAAAATGAATAGCTAGAGCTCGCTCGAAGGCCTGTTTGCAGGTTCGTTGGCTTGACACACCCCCAAGGTGTTGTGGCCAATCCGAGCTCGCTCGGTTCACCTAGAGAGAGCTAGTCTGCTGGAGCTTCCTTTCTTGACCACACATGGTCCATTTCGCATTGAAACGGAGAAATTACGGTCATAGGGTCCAGTTGATTTCCAAAAAAGAGGTTGCTCCTCAAAAACCCAAAGGGAGCCAGGGACAGGGGGCAAACTACCAATATTGGGACTGTCCCCGCGTAAGCAAATGCAAGTCATGGGACCCTGAAGCCCATGCTCCTCCATGGCCTAATTGCAGATGTCGACCCACTTCTCCAGCGTCACAAGCTTGAAGTGAGAGAAGATGCTCACTCGAGCGAGCCGGCTATGGGGGTTGAGAACATATTTTGTTGACGCCTTTTCCACTGGGTTTGGGTGGCACGTTTCGTTGATCCCTTTTCGGACCAGCAAATGCTCGTTTGTAGTGAAGCCCAAGTGAAACGGCGGTAGTGGGATGCGCACCCGGAAAAAGAAACTTGCATCCAAAGAGTCTCGAACTCAAGGACATTTCAGGGAAACCAGAGGGACACCGCAGAGAAACCAAAGGGGGACCGCAGGCACACCCAAAGGGACACCCCCAAACACCGATCCCTTCTGCCTGGGAGGTCTCCAGAGTCTTTGCGCTTCTTCCAGCGCGCCGCGCAGCACTTCGCCGCGGCCCAAGCGAACCTCGGGGAGGCGGCGGCGCACAGCGCGGCGGCGGCGGCTCTGCTGCTGCTGGAGCGCCCGGAGGTTCGCACCAAACCGCTGGATGTCTGGCGAACTTGCGGAAAAAATCGGGGGGTTGAGTGTATCAGAGCCATAGTTCTTGGGGGAACGGTAGCTAATCGTACCTACTGTGGATGGACGAAATCCTGCACCACCTAAGCAACAATGAGACACCATTGTTTGTTGGTTTTTACAGGGGAATCAACATTCCAGGGCTTCTTAGGTGGTGCAGGATTTTGTCCATCCACAGTAGTGTTGGGGTCTGACTGACTCACTGGGGCGGCCCTTCGCACGCCAGGCGGGCAAAGCGCAGCAGCAGGCCGAGAAGGCGGCGGCTCTGTGCGAGAAGTTGCAGGAGACCAGGGGCCAGGCGGTGGCGCTGCAGACGTTAGCCAACTGCAAAATGGTGCAGGGCGTGAATGATCCAGAGGACCGGGGGGGGGGGGGGGAGGGGGAGGAGCGAGGGTCCGTTTTGCGGGTTTGAAAGTTTGGGTGCTGGAAGGGGCGGGTCTGCGGGAGAAGGACGCCCAAATTAGCACTGCTTTTTATGAGTGTACCCTTCAGGAATGTCAAAAGGGAGGACTGTGACCAAATTAGCAGGGTTCATTTGGTGCACTTAGGTGCCAATTGTGGCAAGGGTAGGATGAGGTAGCAAGGGAACACCCCTTGTGTTTTTGTCCCAGTGGGTGTGTCTAAATTTGGGGCCAAGTCCTCCAGGTGGCGGTTGTTTCCTTTTCCCATTCCCTTGAATTCCTCAAACAGTTCGTACGTAGATTCTGACTATGGTTATACTGGGATACCTGGGGTCGACCCCTTGGGAAGGTCCCTTATCTTAGACATCAAAAGGTCTCTCCGCTTTTTCTGCTTCACTGTTTGGCGTGTTTCCCTTTGTGGAGGACGCCTACCGGGCGATGAGGCTCTTTGCGCAGTGCGGGGACAAGCAGGGGGAGGGCATGTGCAGGAAGCTGCTGCTGAATCTGGGCCAATCTGAGCAGCAGATCAAGTCTAGCCTGGACTCGTCCAAGGAGCTGGTTGAGGCATGAGGTCTGGAACCCCCGGTTGAGGCTTATTGGGGATGGTCGCCAAAACGAGGGTGGCCTTTGCCGTCCCTTGGAGAAGATTTTGGTATGCGGGGTTTCAACATGAGGGTTTGGCGCATCCGGGCCACGGCTTCTCGGATTTGTGTTATATTTGTTGTGCATTCTTGGGGTTGACCCACTCAAAGCAGGCTGTTGGTCTCCCCTTGCCCCAGCCGTTGGGGACACCCAGCCTTGGAAAAGGCAGCTCGCTCAGGCTGACCGGGGTCAAACTCATGGCAACTCAAGAAATACCGCCAGCTGCATAAGGAGTGACCCATTCAAGGTGCATGTGAATCAGGGGTGGCTAACTTCATTCAGCGGTTTTGTGGAAAGCTTTCGTGGAGATTAGTGTAACCTACAAAGCTACAGAATCTTCAGGGAACCCTAAACGGATTCCAGTAAACGGGTTCCTTGCACCAAAGGATGATGTATTTTCCGCATCTGATTTCCCAACCCTGTTGGAACCCATACGGTTGACTCAAGCTAAGGGCTATGGGGACTCAAATAAGGCCTCCCTAGGGCGTTGAGGCCCTGACGTCTCCCTACTTTCACCCCTCCCAGGACGTGGCCAAGTTTGAGGGCCTCGACGCGGGCAAGGCGGAAGAGCAGCGGCAGAGGGAGGAGCACTCTGGATGTGTGAAGCATCGTTTTTTTTTCCTTTCAGTTTTTTCCCCAGGCAACCCTTGGTGGATGGATGGTTTGGATTTGGATTTGAAGCCCATCAGGTGATGGGGATGTTGCCAGCCCCGAACCTAGGAGCAAAACAACTTCTGCCCGTGTCAGGTATGATTTCTTGTTGGCTTGGTGGTTTGGGGTTTGGAACCCCTGGCAAATGGGAACCCCCCGCAACACCTCCAAACGATCCAAACCACCAATTGGAGGGATTCCAAAGTGGCTTGTTTTTACCTCCTTCCCACCTTCTGCCTTCTGCCTGCCTTCTGCCTTGGCCATTTTCTTGCTTCAGTGCCCTTTTGGGTGGGTGGTTGTCCTTGTTTTTGCATATTTTTTCTACTCCAACCTACAGAAGGGTACCCCACCAAACACAATAGAACGACACCCTTAGGTTCCACCGAGCAAAACAAATCAGCCATCCAAACAAAGGCATCATGAATGTCTTTGCTGCCCAGCCGTTTTCTCCGATGCGTTCTGAAGGCATTTGAGGACGATCTTCGAGGAGCAGGTGGTCTGGGAATACAGCTGGGTGCCCTCTGAGACTCAGGACGGGTTCGATGGGTAGGACGGTTCCGCCCTGTGTGGGGCTTGTCAAAGTTTGGGGGTCCCCTTTAAAGGGTGGCACAAGGGGGAATAAAGCTTTCTACACAGGGCACCCACCAAAATGGGCATCGGGTTCACTTCGGGTTCGCGGAAAACAGGCTTACAAGTGTAGCCTGAAAAAAGCAGAGACCGGGTTCCACAGCGTTCTGAGTTAGTTTCCACTAGCCCGTGGCAAGTTTGCATAGCCCTCGTTTTCCCTGGTGGTTTGGGGGTAGTAACACCCATCTTGCTCGAGCATGTTTTAGCAGGCCCAAACGGCCATAATATGGAGCCCACCAAACTCACCAGGACCGTAGACTCGTAGACCTTCCGCGTTATCATCACCTTTGGGTAGACTCCTTTGCCAAGTTTTGCTTATGACCCCTTCAGGAGACCCCACGTGCCACACAGCCTGGATTTTGCACACGCACACCCGCTGAAAGCCTGAAAACGACCAAACGAAAAGACCCAACCATCCGGCGACCGACTAAGACCCCAGCAGAAAGCCTCCAGCACCAGATCCCGGATTCGCCCATCCGGGGACCCAAAAAGACCCCCAACAGAAAACCTCCTTCGCCCATCCATCCGGGGACCCAAAAAAGGGCCAAAAAAGGACCCCCCAGCGAAAATCTCCGGCACCAGACCCGGAAAGCCGCGACCTGACCGCGCCAGGACCCCAAGCACTTCGGGGAGAAGCACTCGGGCGCCGTCCGCAAGATCTTCGCGGCCTCGGAGCTGAAGGACCGCAAGCTGCTGCAGCAGCTCTCGCGGTGCCGTGCCAGGCGGACCAAGTCCCAGCCCCCCAGCGCCTCGGAGTGGCAAAAGGCGCGGAGAAGCCGCGGAGGGGCGAAGGGTCGTTCCGGGTTTGCGCCGTGGAACGCGTTGGGAGGCGATGTTTTATTTTTTTTGGGGGGAACATGAACCATGGATTGAATCAATAGCAGTATTTTTGACTTGAGAAACGTGAGCCATGGAATCATTAAGCTATCCTTAGGCCTCACGAGTCTCTCCCCCGCCTCGCAGTTCCCGAAACGACCGAGGCTTTGCGAATCTGATCAATGGGCGGCTGCTGACCGCGAGCTCCATGCAGCGCCCCGGTTTTGCTTTTGGTTATTGTTTGCTTGAATGCTAAGTATGTACCAACAAAGGGGACCCCCCCAAAGTGGCTGGTTTTCCATTTGGGTTCCTTTTGAGTTTTGGCTTTGTCGGGAAATGTGTTGTGTCAACTGCCCGGCAAAGCAATTCCGTTGCGATTCCAAGTGGTTGTTTTTGAACAGGCACCGATTCTTTGTAATTGCGCTTGATCCGCTCCAAAGTCAAATTTGTCGAACACATGTGAACACGTATTTCCCATGGAGGGGTTTGCTCGCCGTTTTTGTTTCAGGTTGCGCGTTTGAGTCCACTTTGCCCATGAGCCCGGCCAATGAAAGCAGCTTGTTTTTTTTTTTTGGCCAATCCACTCAGCACGCATTCTCAAGACATGGGTAGGAGATTGGTTTGGTTTCCCGTGCCCAGCAGGTAGGAGCGAGCCTGGTATGAAGGAGGGGGGGGGGTCAGTCTTTTCTTACCAATAGAAAATGACGCTATGGCAACCTAGCTTTTGTTTTGAAGGCAAAAGCTCTTTTCCTATGGCATACCCCCCTTTGCAAAAAACGGCGGGCCTTGCAATCACCTAAGGAGTGCCATGGAGGCTGCGAGCTGTCTGGCGGTGGTGTACGACACCACACGCCTGAGCCACCTGACGCCCCTGGAGGTGGGGCCGAAGGGAACCCGGGGTCGTTCAAGGTCCTGAAAAGGGGCGGCCGGTCCTTTTTGGAAGTTGTTTTTTTGGTTTGGGGGGGGGTGTCAAAAAAGGAAGCCGTACACAGTACTCTCATGTGAAAGTACACACCATGAGCTCTACATGACTGTTGCCATCTACCATGAACAATGCGATTTTACGGGGCACGAAAACGGGACCGCTGGAGTTGGGGTGAGTGGGGAGGAGATGAGGGAAAAGTCAAATGAGCCACATTCAAAGCAGCTGTTTCAGCCTCAAGCCTTCCCGCGGTGACAGCTGTTAGCTGTTCGGTAGGACCTGACCCCTCCTTGGTCATGGCCCCATCACCCGGACAGTTACAGATTTGGGGACAGGGGTTGATGTTGGCCTTTCTGGTCAACTTTTTCATGTTTTCCTTATCTATTGGAGATGTGAGAGAAGGGATTCTTGTGGAATCCCAGGTGGGGAATTGTTACTCTTTTCTTGGTCTGTTTTCGAAGATGTTCATGGTGATTTGGAATGGTGTTTATTTTTCTCCTGGAAAAGCTGCCTATTGGACCTCCCTCATCTGGAGCAGAGTGAGGACCACTAAGGACTGCAGATATGACCTGGTATTATTTGGTATTGATGATTATTGGTGGATTTTGGTTGGTATTCTTCTTCGTCAGCGGCCTATTGATGCGGTTATTGAGCACCTCATCGTCGGCGCCTTTGGTATTTTGTATATTTCTGGATGTCGGTATCTTCGTGAAGGAGCAGCAATATTGGTGCGCCTATTGATGCTCATTCTACATGAAGCAGATGAGATACAGGCCGGGTGTCGTATTTGGGTACAGGGGAGGTGCAGACAGACCCCTTGGATTCCCTTCCGGCTCCCTTTATTTGTGATTATTTGGGCTTCATGTACCCTTGAAATGGATTGGTATCTTCGAGGGTACCTACCCCACAATAGCTTCCCTGAGCATGCTGTGGGCGTTTATATGGGGGAATCTGCTCTGTTTGGGTACCCATATGGCTCAATCAGTGTGATTTGGAGCATTAGCCATGGAAGCAGCCCGAGGGGCGTGAGCCTTCTGAGTGGCTGTCTGATTGCCGGTGTGGCGGTCACTATGCTCTTCATGGTGTGCGTGCAGGCGCTGCACAGGTTATGGGTGCTTCTTGTCCGAGCTTGCAATTTGGACAAGTTGGAGGAAGAGCAGCTTGGCGAGGAGAGCATTGACCTCGACAGGTTTGGGAAGCACCTCGACGGCCCCACGGTGGCTCTCGGAACTGTCACTGGCAGGATTTTGTGCAATATGGGGCAACTGCTTTTGGTATGCAATCAGTCAGCTTCGATTCGGGCACTCCAGGAGCTGGAGAAAGATCAAGTTTCAGGTCCTTAGCAACTCCACCCTGGAGATTCAGAAGAAGCTCAAAGCAGGAGGCAAATGGGCAGATGAAGACGCAATTCAAGCAGCATCGGATTTTTTGAAGCAGGAAATCTGGGTGGTCAACGTGGGCAATGGGTGCAATTATAAACACACCGGGCAGGTGGTGCGGTTCATGCCTACAGTTCAGGACATGCAGATCAAGCCGTTGATACTCAGGCTATTGAACAATCACTTTGAAGCTATTCGGATGGACAATATTCGGCTTGAGGAGCGAGCAGTATCATGGGAAGCTTTTAAGCGGTCCTCTTTTGACTTATATGCTCATGACTCCGAGATGGATGCAAGTGAGGCCCGCACCGACTCTGATCTTCATGGAGGAGGAAGAGGACGCGGTAAAGGACGGGGCAGGGCGCCATTTACAGACATTCCGGGAGTTACATACGATATCGGTCGGTACCTTTCTTTTGTTCTTCGGCACGGAGCAGTCAAGGAGGGCATCTCGATGGATAACGAGGGCTATGTCAAGGTCGAGGATATTCTGGCTCGGAAGCCACATGCCTCGATTGACAGCGTACTACAGGCAGTCAACAAATGCGAGAAAGGAAGATTTGAGCTTCTTCAAGGGGAAGAAGGTTGGCTCATACGGGCCACCCAAGGCCACAACAAGGAGCTGGAGCTCAGCAATGAAATGCATCGCCAGATTACAACGCCGGATGAGGTGGACCAGCCCACTCTGTTTCATGGCACATATTTGGCGGCGTGGGGGTCCATTAGACGTCAGGGACTGCGATGTGGCCACAGGCAACACGTGCACTTTAGCACCACCTACTTTGTGAACCATGGGCAATCAGGTATGCGGCCGGGTTGTGATCTGGTGGTTGCAGTGAATGTTCAACAATTGCTTGACGCAGAGATGCCCTTGTACAAATCAACCAATGGGGTCTATTTGGTGGGCCGAGACATTCCACCAGAGCTTTTGTACAATGTATACTGGGCTCGTGGACCTCATGACTACAGGATGATTTGGCAATATGGATATTGTGTGCTACATTTGCAGATAGATCAGGATGAGATATTTGCAGCCAAATGTCGGAGGCTTGGTTTGGAGCCCTGGGACTCTTCACAGCCCCCAGCTGATCCTGCTGGAGGAAAAGAGGAAGTGAAAGAAGAAATGGAGGAAGTCCTTGTGGAAAACGAGGAGCAGGAGAACATGGAATATGAAGAGACGCATGGAGAAGAAGTGGTAGCTGATGGTGTGGACCAGGCCTCGGGCTCTGACGGTTATCGAGGCTTGGGAGCAGTGTGGAGTTTGTCGGACGCGCCAGCCTGGCAGAGAAGGATCCGATTCAAGTCACGATCCCGCTCCCCCGGTGGGAGGCCGCTTCATAATAGTCTTCGGACCCCGCTCCCGAGGAGGCGCCCTTTGCCGCGATTGAGGAGAGATGTCAGCGGTGGAGCTAGACTTTGGGGTACGGAGTTCACGGAGCAATGGCGCGGTTGCAGGCTTTTCCTCTGTATCGTCTGCTCCCTGGCCTATTTTGCTGCTAGTGGCATGGACCTTATCAGTCATATTTGCGGAGGCGGTGGAGACGAGTATTCATACTATTCCACCGATGATGAAGCATTTTTGCAGAGCAGTCAGCATGATGAGCCCACGAAAAGAGAGCCGGCTTGGAGAAAAATCGGCAAGGACCGCAGACGTATGAAGGTTCATTTCGCCGATATTCGGACTTTCACCACGGCCCCAAACTATGATCGACCTCGTGAAGGTACGCCACCCCCGGCTAAGACGAGTGGAGGTGATGATCAGCCTCACAAGCGGAAGAGGCGCAAGCACAAGAAGATCTTTGTTGAAGACACAGATCCCCGGCCCCCTCTTCCCCGCATAAGACGGGTTGAGGTGTGGATGAAGGACGAGCCTATGCTGGGCATCGATGGACGACCGGCCCTGCCTCGCAAAAGATCCTTACAGGGGGGTATGCTTGAACAGGAGGTACCATTGGACCTTATGAGATTGGGGCAGTATTTGCAGCTCACGCCATTCAACGATGAAATTAGGGCCCTTTTTCCATTAAATCGGTTTCAGACCTATGCACAGATTCTGGCTGAGAAAACCCGGGTTATTATGACGCTCACCAAAATGTCTGAAGCCCAAGTCCTGAGCCTTAAAACTGCGTGTCGGAAGCTCATGGGCAAAGCTGTTCAACAGACGAGGGCCAAACAATTTCTCGATCAGGAGGATGAAAGAGATGTCAAGGATGCGGTTGCCTTGGCCACCATGCATGTTTCTGATGGGGATCAACAAACTCTTGTTGGCAAGTTTGTGAGTTGGAAGATCAAACCGATGCATTTCATCCCTGAAAGCTCGCCCTAACTCCCTCGGGCTTATTGGTGGGGGTGGGGAACAGGACGATGAGTCGGTTACTTCGGATTCATCTGCCTTTCACATGCTCAGCCGATGTAGGGATGCCCAAACAGCTTTTGATGAGGCTATTCAACTGCAAAGTACGCTGAGAAAACGGAATCGAAGATTGGCCAAACATTTTTTGCAGAAGCAACAGGAGGACATTGAGGATCAAAAGGCTACTATCTGCAGGCTTAGGCACACCCTCTCGCCCACTGCTGGAACTGAAGGGAGGATTGTTGGGGATCCGCGGCACATTCCACTTGGTGATTCTGAAATCTCCCCGACGGTTCCCTTCTTTGTTGATGAAGGATCTCTGAGGGGCCTAGGGCCGGATCGTTTCCGTGACAGGTCCAACAGATTGGCTACGCAGCCTTATTCTATTGCATCTGGAAGACTGGAAATCAGCAGAGGTGCTCGACCTGCTCCTGCGGTTTCCTACGAGCCCATCGAGGACCTCTCAGACGTTGAAGGTGGTATGAAGGATCCCATTTGCATGATTATGCTACATCATCTATGTGGGATCATCGATGCGATACCTCTCACTATTCCTTCAGTACAACATGACTCTTATTGTGAGTTATCTGACCTGGGGAGTGGTATTTTTATTTATCGGCTGATGCAGTATGATTCCTTTGGCATTATGGCAGAGCAGATCACAGGAGGAGGAGGAGCAGCTGAAGCCGAAGCAATTGGTAAAGCTCAGCAGAAGGTCATGAGGGCAGAAGTTGAGTTTGCCCCCAAGCAGATTAGAGCCCTTCTGGTTCTTGACTCCAAGCTTAGGGAAAAGATCCTTAGCAATGACGGGCAAAATCAGATTCGGGACATGATCCGGGCCTCAGCTAAGAAAATTGGGATGCAACCTGACAGGAGTGTCCCTGTCCCGTCCGAGGAGCAGCATGTCCCGAAAGGGAAAGCCGAAAAAGGGGGCAGAGGCAAAGGGAATGGCAAAGCTATGAATCAGGATACCTCTAAAGGCAAAGGTAAGCGCAAAGAAGATGATGTTCAGGAAAGACAGGACAAAGGGAAAGGACGCGAAGCGCAAAACAATGCTAAAGGGAAAGGGAAAAAGGGGAAAGACAGTTTACCTGAGCCTACCTTCGAGCTGATTCCAGAAGACTGGAACTGCCCAATCAGGTCTATTGCAGATTTCAACCCCTCCGCCCATGGCTTGTATCTTATTCAAGATGCAGCGGTGGCCCAACAACTGGCCAGCAAAA